GGTGGTGGTGGTGGTGTCACTAGTGACGGGCACACTGAACAAGGGGAAGTGGATCGGATTAAGGATGGGAGAGTTAGTGGATATGAGGCGCTAGGTGCGTCCATACCGCGGTGAATTCCGTTGTCATGGGTACGCATGTGACTGCACAGGCCCATGCGGTAAATGAATGTGCGTACACAGTGAAGATGGATGCGGCAGGAGCATATCAGTGCTTCGGGCACTGGTTTGCTAGTCTCTGTGCGATGGATCCGCGAGTGACCTACAAGACCGATGCGTGAGCTGAACGTGGGCTGACAGTGCGGGCAAGATGGGTTGGGAGATGTCGCAAGTGGTGAGTATACTGGTCGATTGGATGTCGACTGCGTTGGGGTTGGGAGAGTTGGTGGATGTGTGAGGTGTTAAGTGTCACTATATTGCGTTGCATTCCGTTGTTGTGGATACGCATGTGACCGAATAGACCCACGCGGTTAATGAATGCGCGGACAGTGAAGCTGGATGAGGCTGTCGAATGTAGTGTGGTCGACAAGATAAAGATTCCCAATCAAAAGTCAGGGAAGACGGAATGAGTGGGACAACCTTTACTGCTTGGAAAGCGTGTACACCAAGGCTGTGTGGGCAGTCGCCGCAAGCGTGCTCTCCAGACAAGTTGTTATCTGTGTCCGCCTTCGAGATGTTTTGTTCGGGGGTGTGTGTGCGCCCTCCGTTGTCTCCGCGTCCGCCAGCCAATCAGAGGGGGGACAGCGTTGATTGGCCTGGAGCACTCGCGCGTCCCAGCAGAGTATCGACAAAGAGCGTGAGGCGGACAGGAAGGCAGCGTGACAAAGGCGGAGGGCAAGGAGACGCGAACTGCCACAAGGCGAGCGTATGTTGGTGCTCCATGCGCTGGTTCGCCAGTCTCAGTGGGAGGAATGCGCAAATAACTAACAAGGCCGATGCATGAGGTAACTGTGCGATCGCAATGAGGACTGGTTGGGATCGAGTCCACATCGCTGGAGCCGGGGGTTGTGATGACGACGGTGGTGGTTGACAGGGCGTCGTGAGCGTATCGGTCGATAGCGGGGGTGGTAGATGTGGTTGTGGTAGTCGTCGTCGCGGATGTTTTGGCAGATATGGTGGAGGTGGCGATGGTTGGTATAGGTGGGGCACCGGGATTCAGCATAGCAGTGGTGAGGGTGGACGTGATCGTGGGCGCCGTAAGGGAGGTAGAGCAGGGGCAGACGAGGAGGCAGTAGTTGGGGTTTTCGAATGGTTGGTGCATTGGGTCCGGAGATGACCAACGACACCGATCTGCGGGCGGAATGTGGGCATGTTGAGAGTGATTGGACGTCGAGGTGGCGGATCGGAAGCGCCCGAGACTTATTAGTTTTTATTTTGGCTATGGCAGCGGCAATCCTGCTGGCTTCATAGATGGCTGTTCCGTTCTTCATTTCTTTCCTGCAAGCCGGTCTGTTCTGGGTTAGGTCCTCCCTGGACTCTGGGCTGATCTTCAGTCGCTTCAAGGAGTTCGTCAAAAGGTCCTTGTAGCGGCAGATTTAACCTCCTTGTTGGCATACACCGGTGGCGAGATCTCCATAGAATAGTCATTTTGGTGGGCGAGCGTCGTCAATCCTCATTAGTTGGCCGTTTCGTTGTAGTTACGTGGGTGCTGAGGATTCCAGTTCGTTCCAAAAGTGCCTAGTGTGGGATGCTCTCCTGCCACCTCAGCTATAGCATTCATCGCAGACAACTGAGATGGAAGGGAGTCATCTTTCGCGCTTATCTCTTGTTGACTGTCCGGGTCTCTGTACTATATAGGAGTGTCGTCAGGATAACAGTTTTGTACATCTTCAGTTTGGTGTTAAGATAGAGATTGTGGGGATTACATACGGAGTTGTGCAGCCGTTGGAGGGCCTGGAGGCTTTCGAGATCCGGTGGGCCACTCTATCGTCAATTTTGATGCATCGTGAGAGTTTGCTGCTTACGTAGGCGAAGTTATCTACGGTGTTAAGTTTGATGCCGCTGACATAGGCGCGCAGAACACTGTATGTAGCGTTGGATGACGTCGGTGCATGACCATCATTTTGGTCGTTTTTTTGGTTAGCCTGAAGTTGGAGCAGCCGGAGGCGGAGAGATATATGTTCCGTTGCATGTTAGCTTCTGCCTCAGCGTTGAACGCGCAATCGACAGCGAAGAGCAGGTCATGGATAGAAGTCATATACAGACTCGTTGAGACGTGCATGCCCCGGCTGTTGGGAAGATGTCCGGTATATCAGCGTGACTCCTTTCACTCTGATGGAAAACTGTTAAAAATCCGTCGCCTAAAAGCATTCTCGGAGGTTCCCGAGGTCGGCGTCCACGACCTTGTGTTTGCGGAGGACTGTGCTCCGAACAGCACAGGGGGGTGGGAACTCCTCCGACTCCGACTGCTCCGACTTCGGACTGACTATCAACACGAAGAAGGTGATGGTCATGCAACAGTCACCGCCCAAAGCGGGCTACGGTTAACCCTTTATCAGCGTCAATGAAACCCAGTTTGCATCAGTGAGCAGTTTCATGTCCCGAAAGTAGAATCTTGGTTATAGGGGGTGTCCAGCGGGGGATTCAAGTGACGGTCGTAGTATGTCGCTCACTTGCTTGCTGGAGCAGAATACGCCTAGCGTCCACTTGCCGGCACCCAACTCTCACATGTGGCTCCCCGAAGCTAGGCTGTTGTCTAGCGGCCACAACCCGGAAACCGCCTCGACCGGCGGGCTAAACCAGGTGAGGGTATCCGTGTACACTCTGAGCACACGGTGTCGCGGACTGCGCTGGACGGTTGGTCGGATGGAATTCCGCGCCTGCACCGTCGATACGAGGCTCCGTCTTGTGCACCGCAGGAAGCCACGAGCTTACCACGATGATCAGTCCTGACGCCGAAAGGGACAAATTTTACGAGGACCTTCATGCTCTCCTGGCGGCTGTGCCGTAGGTGGACAAGTTGATTGTCGTTGGTGACTTCAACGCTCGCGTCGGCACAGACAAGGCTACCAGGAGTGGAGTGCTAGGTCCCCATGGTCTCAACGATTGCAAAGACAATGGCCCTCTCCATCTTCACACCTGCGCAGAACGCCGCCTCATCCTGACGAACACCTTCTTCTGCCTGCGGATGCGAAAGAAGGTCGCCTGGATACATCCCCGATCGCGTCAGTGGCACCTGCTGGACCGTGTCCTAGTCCGGAGGCGAGACCAGCGGGATGTGTTGGTGGCAAAGGCGATTCCGAGTGCTGATGGGTGGACCGATCATCGCCTCCTTATATCGAAGATGCGGATTCGCCTACAGTCTCGCAGGAGACCACAAGGTAAGCGACCCCCAGCTTAGCTGAATATTGCCTTGTTGTATTTGCCTGCTCAACATGTCGATTTCAGCAACGAGCTAGCTCAACGGCTAGACAGCCTTTCAATCGCTGCTGCTGCCGCCGCTGACGAGAACGCCTCAGTGGAGAACCGATGGTATCAACTGCGGGACACGGTCCACTCGACGGCGCTGGCCGTCCTCGGTCGTGCGCGCAGTCAATACAAAGACTGTTTCGACGATAACGCCGTCCTCAGCAACCTACTTGCTGAGAAAAACCGTCTGAACAAAGCCTACGTCGACCGCCCCACTGATGACAACAGAGCTGCTTTCTACCGTAGTCGTTGCCTTGTACAACAGCGGCTGCGCGACATGCAGGACACTTTTACGGCTCGCAAGGTCTAGGAGATCCAAGGACACACGGACCGCAACGAATGGAAGAATTTCTTCTCCGCGATCAAGGCTGCCTACGGTTCGCCAACCACAGACACTGCTCAGCTCCTCAGCGCCGACGGCGGTACCCTCCTCACTGAGAAGACACAAATTTTACAGCGATGGGCCGAGAACTTCCGAGGCGCCCTCAACCACCCCTCCACCATCCCCGACGCCGCCATCGCCCGTGTGCCGCAAGTGAAGACCAGCGTCGACCACGACCTCCCACCCTCTCTCCACGAAACCATCAGGGTCGTTCAGCAGCTCTCCAGCGGGAAAGCGCCCGGATCGGACGCGATCCCTGCTGAGGTCTACAAGCGCGGTGGCCCCCAAATCATGGATCACCTGACTGCGCTCTTCCAGGAGATGTGGTGTCAAGGAGAAGTACCTCGGGATTTCGAAGACGCCACAGTTGGGCATCTATACAAGCGGAAATGAAACTGCAAGCTCTGCGACAACCATCGAGGAATCTCCTTGCTGAAAATAGCCGGGAAAATCTTCGTTCGCATCCCACTCAGCCGTCTAAACCACCATCTGGCACAAGGTCTACTGCCGAAAAATCAATGCGGATCCCGTCGTCATCGTGAGACCACGGACATGATCTTCGTCGCCCCTCAACTTCAGGAGAAGTGTAAGGAGATGCGGACCCACCTGTACTCTACCTTCGTGGACATGAAGAAAGCCTCCGACACGGTGAATCGTGAAGGACTGTGGAAGATCATGCAGAAATTCGGCTGTCCAGAGCGATTCACTCAGATGGTACGTCAGCTCCACGATAGCATGAGGTCACGCGTCACGGACAACGGGGCTGTCTCAGAGGTATTCAGAGTGACCGACGGAGTGAAACAGGGCTGCGTGCTGGCGCCTACCCTCTTCAGTCTAATGTTCTCTGCCATGCTGATGGACGCCTACCGCGACGAACTCCCCGGGATCCGCATCGCCTACAGGACGGGCGGTCACCTCCTGAATCAACGGCGGGTGCACTTCCAATCGCGAGTATCCACAACCACCGTCCACGAACTTCGCCGACGACTGTGCTCTGAACACCACCTCGGAAGAGGAGATGCAACGCAGCATGGACCTGTTCTCCTCCGCCTGCGATAACTTTGGTCTAGTCGTCAACACTCAGGAGACGGTGGTCATGCATCAACCGCCACCCAACTCAGCCACACCCCCCAGCGCGCCGCAAATCAGCGTGAACCGAACCCAACTGCAAGTGGTGGAGAATTTCCCGTACCTGGGCAGTACCCTTTCCCGCAACATCAAAATCGATGACGAAGTCGCCAACAGGATGTCGAAATCCAGTCAAGCCTTCGGTCGCCTCCAGAGCTCAGTTTGGAATCGTCATGGTCTCCAACCGAGCACGAAGCTAAAGATGTACAAGGCCTTCATCCTGCCGACGCTGCTGTACGGAGCGGAGACTTGGGTGGTGTACACAAAGCAGGCACGCCGACTGTACCACTTCCAACTCAGTTGTCTTCGTCGCATCCTGAGGCTGAACTGGCAGCATCGAATCCCCGACACTGATGTGCTGGAACGGACGGGAATCCTCAGCGTCTACACCATGCTGAGACAAATGCAGTTGCGCTGGAGCGACCACGTGGTGCGCATGGACGACGAGCGACTACCCAAACGACTCTTCTACGGAGACGTCGCGACGGATTCTCGCCGCCAAGGAGACCAAATTCGTCGATATAAGGACACTCTGAAGTCCTCCCTGAAGCGTCTGCAAATCAACCCGACCAACTGGGAAGAGCTCGCACTCGATCGACCGACCTGGAGGAGGACAGTGACAACAGGCGCCGCGATCTACGAAGCCAGCGTTCTAGTCCCTACCCTCTTCAGGCTCATGTTCTCTGCCATGCTTATGGGCACCTACCGTGACGAACACCAGGTGACCCGCATCGCCTACAGGAGGGGCGGCCACCTCCCCAGTCAGCGGTGGCTGCACTTCCAGTCACCTGTATCCACAACCACCGTCCACGAACTTCCATTCGCCGACAACTGCGCCCTCCAAACCACCTCGGAAGGGGACATGCAAAGAGGCATGAACCTCTTCGCCGGCGCCACCCGCGAGAACTTCGGTCTGGTCATTAACGTGGAGAAAACGGTGCTTATGCACCAACCTCCACCCGACGCTGCCTACGTCGCACCCAAAATCAACATGAACGGCGCCCAACTGCAAGCTGTGAACAACTTCACCTACCTGGGCAGCACCCTCTCTCGCAATACCAAAATCGACGATGAAGTGGCCGGCCGGATTTCGAAGGCCAGTCAAGTTTTCGTTCGCCTGTGAATCACAGTTTGGAATCGTCATGGTCTCCAGCTCATCACGAAACTGAAGATGTACAAAGCAGTCATCCTGATAACGCTGTTGTGTAGAACGGAGACCTGGACTGTGTACAGTAAGCAGACACGAAGACTCAGTCACTTCCACTTCAGCCGTCTGCGACAGATATCGCAGCTGAGGTGGAAGGACCGAATCCCGGACACTGATGTACTGGAACGGATGTGAGTCCTCAACATCTGCGCCGTGCTGAGACAAGTGCAACTGCACTGGAACGGCCACCTCGTCCGCATGAACGACGGGGGGTTACCCAAACGAATCGTCTATGGAGATGTCGCCACGGGATCCCGCCGACAAGGCGGTCAAATCCGGCGCTATAATGATACTCTGAAGACTTCTCTGGGCACCTGCAAATGGACCCAGCCAACTGGGAAGGCTTTGCCTGCGACCGACCGACCTGGAGGAGGATGGTAAAGACAGACAAAGGGATCTACGAAGCCAACCTCATCAGCTCTGTCGAAGCAAAACGTGATGATCGTAAATCTCAATTGTCCCCGCCTCACGACGCCAACAATCAACCGCCCCCAACCTGCCCGCGATGTCAGCAGACGTTCCGGACATCAATCGGTGTAATTGGATATCTTTGTACAACTGCAGCACCTGGACGACACCACACGATGTCGCGCCGTTTACCTCTGCCTCGCCCTCACGCCGACAATCAACACTAGTCGAACTCCTGAACCCCTACTGTCATTTTACTAGGTCGCCTCAGCATCCGCTGTGACGGCCCCTGTTCCCGCCGCCACTGCACTGAATCCTAACACACCGAGAATCGTCAACCTCACGGCCGCCAACACCAGCGATGTGGACTCGGTTCATACCTGTCCCCATTGCGATCGCACCTTCACCCCACACATCGGCCTGGTCGGTTACTTGCGAATCCATCGCACAGAGACTGGCGAACCAGTGCCTGAAGCACCCACATACACCCGCGGCACCCTCCTCCACTGCTCTCACTGCACCCCCGCATTCACCCATCGCATGGGCCTATTGGGCCACATGCATATTCACGAAAACCTGCGATAGATAGTCGCCGGACATACCACACTATCACACGTTTTCCCACTTGTAACACACAGTACCATCACCAACCACAATCCCCAAACTGTCACCTCTCGTGCAGGTGGGAAGTGTGCGTCTCGGCTCCGTCTCCATACGGCCTTTCTACTGCTTGTGTGATTCGAATCTGGGGCTATCAGAGCGAGTCAAGCGCCGTGACTTGGAAGGCTGCTGACTGAAGCCCCAACTCAGTTCACGCAGTTCGTTCAGTTGTGTGTATGTTGTGCGGAGTGGTGGACTGGTGGGCTGAGAGCCAGGCCGAAACAGCCTCTTCTAAACATGACCACCGGCACTCTCACGCATATGAGATGTACACCGCTCAAACCCCGTTGTGTGAAATCCTCGTGCTTGTGTTTGGGGGACCAGGTCGTGCATGTGGCATGCGCAGACAAGGCTAAAAGATATGTTGGCCACCGCTCCCATTCCCCGCTCCTGTCAACTGATTGACTCGGACAGTGACTGGGGCCTGGAAAGGGAAATGAAGATTGAGGTCGACAATTCAGCGCATTTTGCCCATTATAAACAATCTGGCGCGCTTGTAACTATCACGGTGTGCTTAAAGTCGTGGCTTGGAAGGTTGCCAACTGACGGAATAACTCGGACCTCGCAGTCTGCCCAGTGTTGCGCGTTTGGGTGGAACGGTCGGCTGATGTTCTAAGCGTCAGGCTGCAATGGCTCTTTCTTAATGTGGCCTCTATGGCACTCCCATTGCGTGGGATCCGAGGCAGGTGTTGCGGCACGCCTAGGTGCGGCCCCCTTTTGTTGTTGGTTAAAAATCTGGTTGTCTGTTATGTGAACCAGGGGGTGTGGTTGAAGCGCCAAGGTGCGGGTCCGGCCGTGCCATCCACCTGCGTCATCCTCCGCCTCCGGTCTTCTTGACTCTGTCTTGAAACCGGGTGCAGGTGGGGGAGGAGGAGGAGGAGGAGGATGAGGGAGTGTGGTAGATGCAGCGCAAGCCTACATTCACTATAATCTAATTCACGCGCAAGTCACAGTGCCTGTTCCACCTTTCAGTGGAGCACACGGTGGACACCGTCGGCAACGACGGTCGCATGGGATGACCACCTGGCTGACTGAGAATCAGGCTCAATAGCCCTTCTTATGTAGCTTCCGGGGCACTCTTAAGCATAAGATAT